AAATAGCAAGAACAAGGGCCTAGCGTTGCGAAATTGCAAGAACAAGGGCCTAGCGTGTGCAAAATTGCAAGAAGAAGGGTCTAGTGTGTGCAAAATTGCAAGAACAAGGGCCTAGCGTGTGCAAAATTGCAAGAACAAGGGCCTAGTGTGTGCAAAATAGCAAGAACAAGGGCCTAGGGAATGCGAAATAGCAAGAACAAGGGCCTAGCGTGTGCCAAATTGCAAGAACAAGGGTCTAGCGTGTGCAAAATAGCAAGAAAAAGGGGCTAGCGTGTGCAAGATTGCAAGAACAAGGGCCTAGCGTGTGCAAAATTGCAAGAACAAGGGCCTAGCGTGTGCAAAATTGCAAGAACAAGGGCCTAGTGTGTGCAAAATTGCAAAAACAAGGGCCTAGTGTGTGCAAAATAGCAAGAACAAGGGCCTAGGGAATGCGAAATAGCAAGAACAAGGGCCTAGCGTGTGCCAAATTGCAAGAACAAGGGCCTAGTTTTTTCAAAATTGCAAGAAAAAGGGGCTAGCGTGTGCAAAATTGCAAGAACAAGGGCCTAGCGTGTGCAAAATTGCAAGAACAAGGGCCTAGCGTGTGCAAAATAGCAAGAACAAGGGCCTAGCGAATGCAAAATAGCAAGAACAAGGGCCTAGCGTGTGCCAAATTGCAAGAACAAGGGTCTAGTGTGTGCAAAATAGCAAGAACAAGGACATAGCGTGTGCAAAATTGCAAGAACAAGGGTCTAGCGTGTGCAAAATAGCAAGAAAAAGGGGCTAGCGTGTGCAAAATAGCAAGAACAAGGGCCTAGCGTGTGCAAACTTTCAGGAACAAGGGCCTAGTGTTTTCAAAATTGCAAGAAAAAGGGGCTAGCGTGTGCAAAATTGCAAGAACAAGGGCCTAGCGTGTGCAAAATTGCAAGAACAAGGGCCTAGCGTGTGCAAAATAGCAAGAACAAGGGCCTAGCGAATGCAAAATAGCAAGAACAAGGGTCTAGCGTGTGCAAAATAGCAAGAAAAAGGGGCTAGCGTGTGCAAAATAGCAAGAACAAGGGCCTAGCGTGTGCAAACTTTCAGGAACAAGGGCCTAGTGTTTTCAAAATTGCAAGAAAAAGGGGCTAGCGTGTGCAAAATTGCAAGAACAAGGGCCTAGCGTGTGCAAAATTGCAAGAACAAGGGCCTAGCGTGTGCAAAATAGCAAAAACAAGGGCCTAGTGAATGCAAAATTGCAAGAACAAGGGCCTAGCGTGTGCAAAATTGCAAGAACAAGGGCCTAGCGTGTGCGAAATTGCAAGAACAAGGGCCTAGCATGTGAAAAATTGCAAGAACAAGGGTCTAGCGTGTGCAAAATAGCAAGAAGAACAGTCTAGCGTGTGCAAAATAGCAAGAACAAGGGCCTAGCGTGTGCAAAATTGCAAGAACAAGGGCCTAGCGTGTGCAAAATTGCAAGAACAAGGGCCTAGCGTGTGCAAACTTTCAGGAACAAGGGCCTAGTGTGTGCAAAATTGCAAGAACAAGGGCCTAGCGTGTGCAAAATTGCAAGAACAAGGGCCTAGCGTGTGCAAAATAGCAAGAACAAGGGCCTAGCGAATGCAAAATAGCAAGAACAAGGGCCTAGCGTGTGCCAAATTGCAAGAACAAGGGTCTAGTGTGTGCAAAATAGCAAGAACAAGGACATAGCGTGTGCAAAATTGCAAGAACAAGGGTCTAGCCTGTGCAAAATAGCAAGAAAAAGGGGCTATCGTGTGCAAAATAGCAAGAACAAGGGCCTAGCGTGTGCAAACTTTCAGGAACAAGGGCCTAGTGTGTGCAAAATTGCAAGAATAAGGGCCTAGTGTGTTCAAAATTGCAAGAAAAAGGGGCTAGCGTGTGCAAAATAGCAAGAACAAGGGCCTAGCGTGTGCAAAATTGCAAGAACAAGGGTCTAGCGTGTGCAAAATAGCAAGAACAAGGGCATAGCGTGTGCAAAATTGCAAGAACGAGGGTCTAGCGTGTGCAAAATAGCAAGAACAAGGGCCTAGCGTGTGCAAAATTGAAAGAACAAGGGCCTAGCGTGTGCAAAATTGCAAGAACAAGGGCCTAGTGTGTGCAAAATTGCAAGAACAAGGGCCTAGCGTGTGCAAAATTGGAAGAACAAGGGCCTAAGGTGTGCAAAATTGCAAGAACAACGGCCTAGCATGTGCAAAATTGCAAGAATAAGGGTCTAGCGTGTGCAAAATAGCAAGAACAAGGGCCTAGCGTGTGCAAAATTGCAAGAACAAGGGCCTAGCGTGTGCAAAATTGCAAGGACAAGGGCCTAGCGTGTGCAAAATTGCAAGAACAAGGGCCTAGCGTGTGCAAAATTGCAAGAACATGGGCCTAGTGTGTGCAAAATTGCAAGAAAAAGGGTCTAGCGTGTGCAAAATAGCAAGAAAAGGGGCCTAGCGTGTGCAAAATTGCAGGAACAAGTGCCTAGCGTGTGCAAAATTGCAAGAACAAGGGTCTAGCATGTGCAAAATAGCAATAACAAGGGCCTAGCGTGTGCAAAATTGCAAGAACAAGGGTCTAGCTTGTGCAAAATTGCAAGAACAAGGGCCTAGCGTGTGCAAAATTGCAAGAACAAGGGCCTAGCATGTGCAAAATTGCAAGAACAAGGGCATAGGTGTGCAAAATTGCAAGAACAAAGGCATAGCGTGTGCAAAATTGCAAGAACAAGGGCATAGCGTGTGCAAAATTGCAAGAACAAGGGCCTAGCGTGTGCAAAATTGAAAGAACAAGGGCCTAGCGTGTGCAAAATTGCAAGAACAAGGGTCTAGCGTGTGCAAAATAGCAAGAACAAGGGCATAGCGTGTGCAAAATTGCAAGAACGAGGGTCTAGCGTGTGCAAAATAGCAAGAACAAGGGCCTAGCGTGTGCAAAATTGAAAGAACAAGGGCCTAGCGTGTGCAAAATTGCAAGAACAAGGGCCTAGTGTGTGCAAAATTGCAAGAACAAGGGCCTAGCGTGTGCAAAATTGGAAGAACAAGGGCCTAAGGTGTGCAAAATTGCAAGAACAACGGCCTAGCATGTGCAAAATTGCAAGAATAAGGGTCTAGCGTGTGCAAAATAGCAAGAACAAGGGCCTAGCGTGTGCAAAATTGCAAGAACAAGGGCCTAGCGTGTGCAAAATTGCAAGGACAAGGGCCTAGCGTGTGCAAAATTGCAAGAACAAGGGCCTAGCGTGTGCAAAATTGCAAGAACAAGAGCCTAGCGTGTGCGAAATTGCAAGAACAAGGGCCTAGCGTGTGCAAAATTGCAAGAACGAGGGCATTGCGTGTGAAAAATTGCAAGAACGATGGTCTCGCGTGTGCAAAATAGCAAGAACAAGGGCCTAGCGTGTGCAAAATTGCAAGAACAAGGGCCTAGCGTGTGCAAAATTGCAAGAACAAGGGTCTAGCGTGTGCAAAAGAGCAAGAACAAGGGCCTAGCGTATGCAAAATTGCAAGAACAAGGGCCTAGCGTGTGCAAAATTGCAAGAACAACGGCCTAGCGTGTGCAAAATTGCAAGAACAAGGGCCTAGCGCATGCAAAATTGCAAGAACAAGGGCCTAGCGTGTGCAAAATCGCAAGGACAAGGGCCTAGCGTGTGCAAAATTGCAAGAACAAGGGCCTAGCGTGTGCAAAATTGCAAGGACAAGGGCCTAGCGTGTGCAAAATTGCAAGAACAAGGGCCTAGCGTGTGCAAAATTGCAAGAACATGGGCCTAGTGTGTGCAAAATTGCAAGAAAAAGGGTCTAGCGTGTGCAAAATAGCAAGAAAAGGGGCCTAGCGTGTGCAAAATTGCAGGAACAAGTGCCTAGCGTGTGCAAAATTGCAAGAACAAGGGTCTAGCATGTGCAAAATAGCAATAACAAGGGCCTAGCGTGTGCAAAATTGCAAGAACAAGGGTCTAGCTTGTGCAAAATTGCAAGAACAAGGGCCTAGCGTGTGCAAAATTGCAAGAACAAGGGCCTAGCATGTGCAAAATTGCAAGAACAAGGGCATAGGTGTGCAAAATTGCAAGAACAAAGGCATAGCGTGTGCAAAATTGCAAGAACAAGGGCATAGCGTGTGCAAAATTGCAAGAACAAGGGCCTAGCGTGTGCAAAATAGCAAGAACAAGGGCCTAGCGTGTGCAAAATTGCAAGAACAAGGGCCTAGCGTGTGCAAAATTGCAAGAACAAGGTCCTAGCGTGTGCAAAATTGCAAGAATAAGGGTCTAGCATGTGCAAAATAGCAAGAACAAGGGCCTAGCGTGTGCAAAATTGCAAGAACAAGGGTCTAGCGTGTGCAAAATTGCAAGAACAAGGGCCTAGCGTGTGCAAAATTGCAAGAACAAGGGTCTAGCGTGTGTGAAATTGCAAGAACAAGGGCATAGCGTGTGCAAAATTGCAAGAACAATGGTCTAGCGTGTGCAAAATTGCAAAAACAAGGGCCTAGCGTGTGAAAAATAGCAAGGACAAGGGCCTAGCGTGTGCAAAATTGCAAGAACAAGGGCCTAGCGTATGCAAAGTTGCAAGAACGAGGGTCTAGCGTGTGCAAAATAGCAAAAACAAGGGCCTAGCGTGTGCAAAATTGCAAGAACAAGGGCCAAGCGTGTGCAAAATTGCAAGAACAAGGGCCTAGCGTGTGCAAAATTGCAAGAACAAGGGCCTAGCGTGTGCAAAATTGCAAGAACAAGGGTCTAGCATGTGCAAAATAGCAAGAACAAGGGCATAGCGTATGCAAAATTGCAAGAACAAGGGTCTAGCGTCTGCAAAATTGCAAGAACAAGGGCCTAGCGTGTGCAAAATTGCAAGAACAAGGGCCTAGCGTGTGCAAAATTGCAAGAACAAGGGCCTAGCGTGTGCAAAATTGCAAGAACAAGGGCCTAGCGTGTGCAAAATTGCAAGAAGAAGGGTCTAGTGTGTGCAGAATTGCAAGAACAAGGGCCTAGCGTGTGCAAAATTGCAAGAAGAAGGGTCTAGTGTGTGCAGAATTGCAAGAACAAGGACGTGGACGTGGACGTTGACGTGGACATGGAAGTGGACGTGGACATGGACGTCGACGTGGTCGTGGACATGGACGTGGACGTGGACATGGACGTGGACGTGGACGTGGACAGGGAAGTGGACCTGGACGTGGACGTGGACGTGGACGTGGACGTTGACGTGGACATGCACGTGGACGTGGACGTGGATGTGGACGTGGACGTGTACGTGGACGTGGACACGGACGTGGACGTGGACGTGGACGTAGACGTGGACCTGGACGTAGACGTGGACGTGTACGTGGACGTAGACGTGGACGTGGACGTAGATGTGGAGGAATTGGACGTGGACATGGACGTGGACGTGGACGTGGACGTGGACGTGGAGGTGGACGTGGACATGGACGTGGACGTGGACGTTGACGTGGACGTGGACGTGGACGTGGACGTTGACGTGGACATGGAAGTGGACGTGGACATGGACGTCCACGTGGTCGTGGACATGGACGTGGACGTGGACGTGGACGTGGACGTGGACAGGGAAGTGGACCTGGACGTGGACGTGGATGTGGACATGGACGTGGACGTTGACTTGGACATGGACGTGGACGTGGACGTGGACGTAAACGTGGACGTGGACGTGGACGTAGACGTGGACATGGACGTGGACATGGACATGGACGTGGACGTTGACGTGGACGTGGACGTGGACATGGACATGGACGTGGACGTGGACGTGGACATGGACGTGGACCTGGACGTGGACGTGGATAGGGACGTGGACCTGGACGTGGACGTGGACATGGATATGGACATGGATGTGGACGTGGACATGGACGTGGACATGGATGTGGACGTGGACATGGATGTAGACGTGGACGTGGACGTGGATGTGGACGTGGACGTGGATGTGGACATGGATATGGACGTGGACGTGGACGTGGACGTAGACATGGACGTGGACGTCTACGTGAACGTGGACGTGCACGTGGACGTAGACGTGGAGGACTTGGACGTGGACGTGGACGTGGACGTGGACTTGGACGTGGAGGTGGACGTGGACGTGGACGTGGACGTGGAGGTGGACGTGGACGTGGACGTGGACGTGGACGTCGACATGGACGTGGATGTGGACGTGGACATGGACGTGGACGTGGTCGTGGACGTGGACGTGGTCGTGGACGTGGACGTGAACGTGGACGTGGTCGTGGACGTGGACGTGGACGTGGACGTGGACATGGAAGTGGACCTGGACGTGGACATGGACGTGGACGTGGACGTGGAGGACATGGACGTGGACATGGACGTGGACGTGGACGTGAACGTGGACGTGGACGTGGACGTGGACATGGACGTGGACGTGGACGTGGACATGGACGTGGACGTGGACGTGGATGTGGACGTGGACGTGGACGTGGATGTGGACGTGGACGTGGACATGGACGTGGACGTGGACATGGACGTGGGCGTGGACGTGGATGTGGACGTCGACGTGGACGTGGACTTGGATATGGACGTGGATGTGGACATGGACGTGGACGTGGACGTGGACATGGACGTGGACGTGGACGTGGAAGTGGACATGGACGTAGACGTGGACGTGGACGTGGATGTGGACGTGGACGTGGACCTGGACGTGGACCTGGACGTGGACGTGGACGTGGACGTGGACATGGACGTGGACGTGGACGTAGACGTGGACATTGTCGTGGACGTGGACATTGTCGTGGACGTGGACGTGGACGTGGACGTGGACGTGGACGTGGTCTTGGACGTGGACGTGGACGTGGATGTGGACGTGGTCGTGGACGTGGACGTGGACGTGGACGTGGACGTGGACCTGGACGTGGACGTGGACGTGGACGTGGACGTGGACGTGGACGTGGACGTGGACGTGGACAAGGAATGGACGTGGACGTGGACGTGGACGTGGACATGGACATGGACACGGACGTCGACGTGGACGTGGACGTGGACATTGTCGTGGACGTGGACGTAGACGTGGACGTGGTCGTGGACGTGGACGTGGACGTCGACGTGGACGTGGACATTGTCGTGGACCTGGACATTGTCGTGGACGTGGACGTGGACGTGGAGGTGGTCGTGGACGTGGACGTAAACGTGGACGTGGTCGTGGACGTGGACATGGACGTGGACGTGGACGTGGACATGGAAGTGGACGTGGACGTGGAGGACATGGACGTGGATATGGACTTGGACGTAAGCGTGGACTTGGACGTGGACATGGACATGGACGTGGACGTGGACGTGGACATGGTCGTGGAGATGGACGTGGACGTGGACGTGGACGTGGACGTGGACATGGACGTGGACGTGGACGTGGACATGGACGTGGACATGGACGTGGACATGGACGTGGACGTGGACGTGGACGTGGACGTGGACATGGACGTGGACGTAGACGTGGACGTGGACGTGGTTGGGACGTGGACGTGGACATGGACATGGACGTGGACGTGGACGTGGACCTGGACCTGGACCTGGACGTGGACCTGGACGTGGACGTGGACGTGGACGTGGACATGGACGTGGACATGGATGTGGACATGGACATGGACGTGGACATGGACGTGGACATGGATGTGGACGTGGACGTGGACGTGGACGTGGATGTGGACGTGGACGTGGACGTGGACGTGGACATGGACGTGGACATGGACGTGGATGTGCACATGGACATTGACATGGACGTGGACGTGGACGTCGACGTCGACGTGGACGTGGACATGGACGTGGACGTGGACGTGTACGTGGACGTGGACGTGGACGTGGACGTGGACGTGGACGTAGACGTGGAGGACTTGGACGTGGACGTGGACGTGGACGTGGACGTGGATGTGGACGTGGACGTGGACGTGGACGTGGACGTGGACGTGGCCGTGGACGTGGACGTGGACGTGGAGGACTTGGACGTGGACGTGGACATGGACGTGGACGTGGACGTGGACGTGGACGTTGACATGGACGTGGACGTGGACGTGGACGTGGACGTTGACGTGGACATGGACGTGGACGTGGACGTGGACGTGGACGTGGATAGGGAAGTGGACCTGGACGTGGACGGGGACATGGACGTGGACGTGGACGTGGATGTGGACGTGGACATGGACGTGGACGTGGACGTGGACGTGGATTTGGACGTGGACGTGGACGTGGACGTGGACGTGGATTTGGACGTGGACGTGGACGTGGACGTGGACATGGACGTGGACGTGGACATGGACGTGGACGTGGGCGTGGACGTGGATGTGGACGTCGACGTGGACGTGGACTTGGATATGGACGTGGATGTGGACATGGACGTGGACGTGGACGTGGACGTGGACATGGACGTGGACGTGGACGTGGACGTGGACATGGACGTAGACGTGGACGTGGACGTGGACCTGGACGTGGACCTGGACGTGGACGTGGACGTGGACATGGACGTGGACGTGGACGTAGACGTGGACATTGTCGTGGACGTGGACATTGTCGTGGACGTGGACGTGGACGTGGACGTGGACGTGGACGTGGACGTAGTCTTGGACGTGGACGTGGACGTGGATGTGGACGTGGTCGTGGACGTGGACGTGGACGTGGACATGGACGTGGACCTGGACGTGGACGTGGACGTGGACGTGGACGTGGACGTGGACATGGACGTGGACGTGGACGTGGACGTGGACATGGACATGGACATGGACGTCGACGTGGACGTGGACGTGGACATTGTCGTGGACGTGGACGTAGACGTGGACGTGGTCGTGGACGTGGACGTGGACGTCGACGTGGACGTGGACATTGTCGTGGACCTGGACATTGTCGTGGACGTGGACGTGGATGTGGACGTGGATGTGGTCGTGGACGTGGACGTAAACGTGGACGTGGTCGTGCACGTGGACATGGACGTGGACGTGGACGTGGACATGGAAGTGGACGTGGACGTGGAGGACATGGACGTGGACATGGACTTGGACGTAGACGTGGACTTGGACGTGGACATGGACATGGACGTGGACGTGGACGTGGACGTGGACATGGTCGTGGAGATGGACGTGGACGTGGACGTAGACGTGGACATGGACGTGGACGTGGACGTGGACATGGACGTGGACATGGACGATGGACGTGGACGTGGACGTGGACGTGGACGTGGACATGGACGTGGACGTAGACGTGGACGTGGACGTGGTTGGGACGTGGACGTGGACATGGACATGGACGTGGACGTGGACCTGGACCTGGACCTGGACCTGGACCTGGACGTGGACCTGGACGTGGACGTGGACGTGGACGTGGACATGGACGTGGACATGGATGTGGACGTGGACATGGACGTGGAGCTTGCGTGGTCGAGGAGCTTTCGTGGTCCAGGAGCTTGCCTGGTCCAGGAGTTTGCCTGGTTTAAGAGCTTGCCTGGTCCAAGAGCTTGCATGGTCCAAGAGCTTGCCTGGTCCAGGAGCTTGCCTGGTCTAGGAGCTTGCCTGGTCCAGGAGCTTGCGTGGTCCAAGAGCGTACCTGGTCCACGAGTTTGCCTGTTCCAGAAGCTTGCCTGGTCCAAGAGCTTGCCTGGTCCAGGAGCTTGCCTAGTCTTAGAGCTATCCTGGTCCAGGAGCTTGCCTGGTTAAGGAGCTTGCCTGGTCCAGGAGCTTGCCTTTTCCACGAGCGTGCCTGGTCCATGAGCTAGCCTTGTCTAGGAGCTTTCTTGGTCCGTTAGCTTGCCTGGTCCAGGAGCTTGCCTGGTCCACGAGCTTTCCAGGTCCAAGAGCTTGCCTGGTCCATGAGCTTGCCTGGTCCAGGAGCTTGCCTGGTACAGGAGCGTGGCTGATCCACGAGCTTGCCTGGTCCAAGAGCGTGCCTGGTCCAAAAGCGTGCCTGGTCCAGGAGCTTGCCTGGTCCAGGAGCTTGCCTCGTCCACGAGCCTTCCTGGTCCAAGAGCTTGCGTGGTCCAGGAGCTTGCGTGGTCCAAGAGCTTGCCTGGTTTAAGAGCTTGCCTGGTCCAAGAGCTTGCGTGGTCCAGGAGCTTGCCTGGTCCAGGAGCTTGCCTGGTCTAGGAGCTTGCCTAGTCCAGGAGCTTGCCTGGTCCAAGAGCGTACCTGGTCCACGAGTTTGCCTGTTCCAGAAGCTTGCCTAGTCCAGGAGCTTGCCTGGTCTAGGAGTTTGCATGGTCCAGGTGCGTGCGTGGTCCAAGAGCTTGCCTAGTCCTGGAGCTATCCTTTTCCAGGAGCTTGCCTGGTCAAGGAGCTTGCCTGGTATAGGAGCTTGCCTTTTCCACGAGCGTGCCTAGTCCAGGAGCTAGCCTTGTCCAGGAGCTTTCTTGGTCCGTTAGCTTGCCTAGTTCAGGAGCTTGCCTCGTCCACGAGCTTTCAAGGTCCAAGAGCTTGCCTGGTCCAAGAGCTTGCGTGGTCCAGGAGCTTGCCTGGTCTAAGAGCGTGCCTGGTCCAAAAGCGCGCCTGGTCCAGGAGCTTGCTTGGTCCAAGAGCGTGCCTGGTCCAAAAGCGCGCCTGGTCCAGGAGCTTGCCTGGTCCTGGAGCGTGGCTGATCCACGAGCTTGCCTGGTCCAAGAGCGTGCCTGGTCCAAAAGCGCGCCTGGTCCAGGAGTTTGCGTGGTCCAGGAGCTTGCCTGGTCCAGGAGCTTGCCTGGTCCACGAGCCTTCCTGGTCCAAGAGCTTGCCTGGTCCAGGAGCTTGCCTGGTCAAGGAGCTTGCCTAGTCAAAGAGCCTTCCTAGTCCAAGAGCTTGCCTGGTCCAAGAGCGTGCATGGTCCACGAGCGTGCCTGGTCTAGGAGCTTTCCTGGTCCAGGAGCTTGCCTTGTCCAAGAGCTTGCTTGGTCCCGAAGCCTGCCTCGTCCAAGAGCTTGCCTGGTCAAGGAGATTGCGTGGTCCAGGAGCTTGTCAAGTCCAAGAGCTTGCCTGGTCCAAGAGCTTGCTTGGTCTAGGAGCTTGCGTGGTCAAGGAGCTTGCCTAGTCCAGGAGATTGCCTGGTCCATGAGCTTGCCTGGTCCACGAGCCTGCCTGGTCCAAGAGCTTGCCTGGTCCAGGAGCGTGCATGGTTCACGAGCGTGCCTGGTCCAGGATCTTGCCTGGTCCAGGAGCTAGCTTGGTCCAAGAGCTTGCATGGTCCAAGAGCTTGCTTGGTCTAGAAGCCTGCCTGGTCCAAGAGCTTGCGTGGTCCATGAACTTGCGTGGTCCAGGAGCTCGCCTTGTCTAGGAGCTTGCCTGGTCTAGGAGCTTGCCTGGTCCAAGAGCTTGCCTAGTACAAGAGCTTGCGTGGTCCAGGAGCTTGCCTGGTCCAGGAGCTTACCTTGTCTAGGAGCTTGCCTGGTCCAGGAGCTTGCCTAGTCCAGGAGCATGCCTGGTCCACGAGTTTGCCTGGTCCAGAAGCTTGCCTAGTCCAGGAGCTTGCCTGGTGTAGGAGCTTGCATGGTCCTGGAGCGTGCTTGGTCCCGGAGGTTGCCTGGTCTAGGAGTTATCCTGGTCCAGGAGCTTGCCTTGTCCAGGAGCTTGCCTGGTCCTAGAGCTTGCCTGGTCCAAGATCTTGCTTGGTCAAAGAGCGTGCCTGGTCCAAGAGCTTGCCTGGTCCTGAAGTTTGCCTCCTCCAGGAGCTTGCCTGCTCCAGGAGCTTGCGTGGTCCAGGAGCTTGCCTGGTCCCAAGCTTGCCTCGTCCAGGAGCTTACCTGTTCGAGGAGCGTGCCTGGTCTAGGAGCTTGCCTGGTCTAGGAGCTTGCATGGTCCACGAGCGTGCCTGGTCCAGGAGCTTGCCTGGTCCAGGAGCTTGCCATATCCAGGAGCTTGCCTGGTCCTAGAGCTTGCCAGGTCCAAGATCTTGCTTGGTCAAAGAGCGTGCATGGTCCAAGAGCTTGCGTGGTCCCGAAGTTTGCCTCGTCCAAGAGCTTGCCTGGTCCAAGAGCTTGCCTGGTCCAGGAGCTTGCGTGGTCCAGGAGCTTGCCTGGTCCACAAGCTTGCCTCATCCAGGACCTTGCCTGGTCCTGGAGCGTGCCTGGTCCACGAGTTTGCCTGGTCCAGGAGCTTGCCTGGTCCAGGAGCTTGCCTGGTCTAGGAGCTTGCGTGTTCCACGAGCGTGCCTGGTCCATGAGCTTGCCTTGTCCAGGAGCTTTCTTGGTCCGTTAGCTTGCCTGGTCCAGGAGCTCGCCTGGTCCAGGAGCTTTCCGGGTCCAAGAGCTTGCCTGGTCACGGAGCTTGCCTGGTCTTTGAGCTTGCCTGGTCTAGGAGCTTGCCTGGTCACGGAGCTTGCCTGGTCCACGAGCTTGCCTGGTCCAAGTGCGTGCCTGGTCCAGGAGCGTGCCTGGTCCAAGAGCGAGCCTGGTCCAGGAGCTTGCGTGGTCCAGGAGCTTGCCTGGTCCATGAGCTTGCGTGGTTTAGGAGCTTGCCTGGTCCACAAGCCTGCGTGGTCCAAGAGCTTGCCACGTCTAGGAGCGTGCGTGGTCCACGAGCGTGCCTGGTCTTGGACCTTGCCTGGACCAGGAGCTTGCCTGATCAAGGAGCTTGCCTGGTCCAGGAGCTTGCTCGGTCCAAGAGCTTGCGTGGTCCACGAGCCTGCCTGGTCCAAGAGCTTGCCTGGTCCAAGAGCTTCCCTGGTCCACGAGCGTGCCTGGTCCAGGAGCTTGCCTTGTCCATGAGAATGTCTGGTCCAGGAGCTTGCCTGGTCCAAGCGCTTGGTCCTGAAGCCTGCCTGGTCCAAGAGCTGGCCTCGTCCAAGAGCGTGCGAGGTCCAAGAGATTGGGTAGTCCAAGAGCTTGCCTGGTCCAGGAGCTTGCCGGGTCCAAGAGCTTGCCTGGTCCAAGAGCTTGCGTGGTCCAGGAGCTTGCCTGGTCCAGGAGCTTGCCTGGTCCAGGAGCTTGCCTGGTCCAAGAGCTTGCCTGGTCCAAGAGCTTGCGTGGTCTAGGAGCTTGCCTGAGGAGCTATCCTGGTCCAGGAGCTTGCTTGGTCCAGGAGCTTGCCTGTTCCACGAGCGTGCCTGGTCTAGGAGCTTGCCTTGTCCAGGAGCTTTCTTGGTCCATTAGCTTGCCTGGTCCAAGAGCTTGCCTGGTTGAGGAGCTTTCCTGGTCCAAGAGCTTGCCTGGTCCAGGAGCTTGCCCGGTCAAGGAGCTTGCCTTGTCCAGGAGCGTGCCTGATCCACGAGTTTGCCTGGTCCAAGAGCGTGCCTGGTCCAGGAGCGTGCCTGGTCCACAAGCTTGCCTGGTCCAAGAGCTTGCCTTGTCTAGGAGCTTGCTTGGTCCAGGAGCTTGCTTGGTCCACGAGCTTGCCTGGTCCAAGAGCTTGCCTGGTCCAAGAGCATGCATGGTCCATGAGCGTGCCTGGTCCAGGAGCTTGCGTGGTCTAGGAGCTTGCCTGGTCCAGGAGCTTGCCTGGTCCAGGAGCTTGCCTGGTCCACAAGCCTTCCTGGTCCGAGAGCTTGCCTTGTCCAGGAGCGTGCATGGTGCACGAGCGTACCTGGTCCAGGAGCTTGCCTGGTCCAGGAGCTTGCCTGTTCCAAGAGCTTGCTTGGTCCAGAAGCCTGCCTGGACCAAGAGCTTGCGTGGTCCAAGAGCGTGCCTGGTCCAAGAGCTTGCGTGGTCCAGGCGCTTGCCCGGTCAAGGAGCTTGCCTCGTTCAGGAGCTTGCCTGGTCCAAGAGCTTGCCTGGTTCAGGAGCTTGCGTGGTCCAGGAGCATGCTTGGTCCACGAGCCTGCCTGGTCCAAGAGCTTGCTTGGTCCAAGAGCTTGCCTCGTTCAGGAGCTTGCCTAGTCCAAGAGCGTGCCTGGTCCAGGAGCTTGCTTGGTCCAGGAGCATGCTTGGTCCACGAGCCTGCCTGGTCCAAGAGCTTTCTTGGTCCAGGAGCGTGCATGGTTCACGAGCGTTCCTGGTCCAGGAGCTTGCCTGGTCCAAGAGCTTGCCTGGTCCAGGAGCGTGCCTTGTCCAAGAGCTTTCCTGGTCCAGGAGCTTCGGTGGTCGAGGAGCTTGCCTGGTCCAGGAGCTTGCCTGATCCAAGAGCTTGCCTGGTCCAAGAGCTTGCGTCGTCCAGGAGCTTGCCTGGTCCAGGAGCTTGCCTGGTCTAGGAGCTTGCCTGGTCCATGAGCTTGCCTGGTCCAAGAACGTGCCCGGTCCAGGAGCTTGCCTGCTCCAGGAGCTTGCCTGGTCCAAGAGCTTGCGTGGTCGAGGAGCTTGCCTGGTCCAGGAGCTTGGTTTGTCCAGGAGCTTGCCTGGTCCAAGAGCTTGCCTGGTCCAAGAGCTTGCGTGGTCCTAGAGCTTGCCTGGTCTAAGAGCTTGCCTGGTCCACGAGCTTGCCTGGGCCAGGAGCTTGCCTGAACAAGAGCTTGCGTGGTCCAGGAGCTTTCCTGGTCCAAGAGCTTGCCTGGTCTAGCAGCTTGCCTGGTCGAAGAGCTTGCCTGGTCTAGGAGCTTGCCTGGTCGAGCAGCTTGCTTGGTCCACGAGCGTGCCTGGTCCAGGAGCTTCCCTGGTCCAAGAGCTTGCGTGGTCGAGGAGCTTGCCTGGTCCAGGAGCGTGCCTCGTCAAGGAGCTTGCCTGGTCCAAGAGCTTGCGTGGTCCAGGAGCTTTCCTGGTCCAGGAGCTTGCCTGGTCTAGGAGCTTGCCTGGTCTAGGAGCTTGCCTGGTCTAGGAGCTTGCGTG